TCTGCACTGACACACACTGCCACACTGATCCCCCACACTGTAGAGTACAATCTGCACTGACACACACTGCCACACTGATCGCCCACACTGTAGAGTACAATCTGCACTGACACACACTGCCACACTGATCGCCCACACTGTAGAGTGCACATTGCACCAGACGGTACCCACTGTGTGCATTGTAACACTGTGCTTACAGACTGTGGACAGTGTATTGTAGCTTAGAATACATATAAGAACAGGCCAGGTGTGTAACCTGCAAGATTTCACCAGTGACGATGAGTTGAGCACACCTCCTTTTCAGAAAATTAACAATAGATCTGTATTGTCCACAGTGTCGGAAAGGCCCTTACTGCATAGCACTTCCTGCCATCCTGCTAGGGCTGTCCCGGACTTTTGTCACCACCTTGTGTCAGAACTCTATGTACCCGGACGCCACTGGATATTTCCTTAGACCTCTATCACCTATGTGCTGACCACTCCCAGGCTTTCTGTCTTGGTCTCTAGGTGGCATCGTGTTCTCTCCGGTGACAGTCATTCTTTTCCCCACACACAGAAAACAGGTTCTGGCCACGAAGGCGGAGGCAGAGAAGGATGGAGTGAAGGTGCCCACCACGCTGGCTGAGTACTGCATCCAGACCAAAGTGCCTTCCCACGACAGCAGCTCCGACCTGCTGTACGATGACCTGTACGACGATGACATGGAGGAGGAGGAAGAGGAGGAGGAGGCTGAAGCAGGCGAGGCGGGCGAGGGCGATTGCTATGATGATGAAGATTCCGGCAATGAGGAGTCCTGACCTCACCATCTTTCCTCGCCCGACAGATACCCCTCCATTCCCACCCTCTCCGATCCTGTCACCCCCCCACCAACCCCCCACCGCACACACACGCCACATGCAGTGAAACCTTTTCTGTCTCGGACCCCTGTCCTCCATTTCCGCTGCAGCCCAGCCCCGAGAAACTCTGTCCGCTTGTCCTTACCTTCCTTTGTTCTGTCCAAGACTAAACGCACAGCGTCTTGGTCGCCTGTCTTTCCTTCCTCTGTGTGTCTGTACGGTGCTCACTTCTGACAGCACCTCCTGCTCCTGTTCCCCACCCCTCAGGAATGCCTGTGCGTGTCTCTGTCACAAAGACTCCCAGAATAAGATGTTGTGACTGCAGCCCCAGCAGCACCCTGCTCAAGCCTGTCTAGCTTGCCTGTCTGCCTTTACACACACACACACACCCTCCCCCCCAACACAACCAAAAACCAAGAAGTCCTCTTGTGTGCTGAAATGGAACTTTAAGAAAACAAGGCGACCTCAACCCTTGATCAAAAACCCCCACAACTCCTCTTTCCTCTCCTCCCTCCCCCTCTGCCCTTTTCCTTCTGCTTTCCCCCCTCTTTGTTTCCACTCCTTGCGAATAGACCCAGGGTTTTCTCTTACCACATGGGGAGAGGTTTGGATTTTATTTGTGTTTCGTTTCTGTGAGACAGGATTACTGTCTCTGGCCGCAGACCTCTGTCTTGTGCCAGGTGCTTCCCGAGACTCCCACCATACCTCTGTTCTCAGTTTCCGATGAGCCTGAACAGTCCTCACAACGATCAGCCAGTGATCGGGACAGAGAGAAATCACCCCTTTAAAGTGTTAGTATTTACCTTCTCTCATGTTATAGTACAGTAGCTGCTTTGGCTCTGCATATATTAAAGGTCAGTGTTTCTGTTAAAGGGGGAGGTCTGATGATGATTTTTGTTATTAGTGTTACTGCAAGCACTTCTAATAGTGGATAGTTGTATCATTGTGCACTATACACATTTAGTGTGAACAACTAATTTCAGAGTGGAGCCAATATCATGATCATAACAAAAACACTGGAGGAAGGGGTTAGAAGCCGTTGATCTAGACTGTCAGCAGTGATACTTCAGTGAGACAGCTACTGAAATATTTGGATTTTTTTACAGATCAGACTCGTCAGAAGGGGTACTGGGAGGGGATCGTTAAAGGTTTTATAACTGGGACAAATGAGGTTTCGTAAAAGTGCAGTAGAACGTCCCAGTAGCAGCTTGTAATACATCTGTAAAATGTGTTCTTTTCCTTCAGAAGAGTGGAACAAATGTTCTCAGTCAACTCTGCAGGATTAGAAACATGCTTGTTTTCAAAATGCCTGCTAATTTCAAATGAATGTTCCTCCGACTCTGCACTCATCACTTGAGTGTGTGGATATTACTGTCACTGATGAGACGAGCAAAGAACATGAAGATGCAGAGAGATAACTCACCTCATCGATATGCAATGTGGAGGGAGACCTGGAAGGGTTCCAGTTGTACCTCGGCACAGGCCAGACGGTAGTGGGAGAGAGGGGGAGCTTACCTCAAATCCCGACTGAGCACCGAACAGCCCTCCCCAGCATTCCCAGCATTCCCCTTCCTGCTGACACAGCCCTTAGCAGATGGGGACCATGCGGTCTCCCACAGTTCCCTGTGCAAGCTGTCTGCAGTTTTAGTCCATACTGCCAATGAGCCTCGTCAGTGAAAATATAATTATTACACCCGCATGGACAAGCTCGTTGTAGCTAGAGCAGAGAGCTGGAAAGCAAGGGTGTGGAGTTGAGTTGAGTTTCAGACGGGTCAGCAGTCGTGTGTCCACTCGGAGGAGGGCTGCTAAGGACAGGGGCCGAGACCCGAGACCGAGGGTGCTGGTAGTGAGGTTAAATAGTCTCTGAAAAGTCAATTGAATAAATACAGGTGACTGAGGCTAGGTGGGTAAGGCAGTAGAGGATATGGATATATAAATCGGAGCGAACTTTGTCGCTTTTTTGGGACTGTCAAGTTGGAATATGCGTTTTTCATATTTCATATTTCCCTCCCTCATTCATTCCTCTTTTTAAAAAAAGAAACCCTCCTGGACCCCCTCCCCTCTTCCACGCCCTCCCTCTCGCCAGCCCCCCCCCCCTCCGCCCCTCCATGTGAAATGCCAGATGGGCGAGAAAGGACAGTAATCGGTTCAGGCTGGCGAGAGGGGGCGAACGATCCGGAACGCGTGTGCAGGGCCCCTCGGCCTGCCCGTCCCTCACCGCGCCGCACAGACGCCTCGGACGCTCCCGCGGCGCTGAGCTGGGCTGGAAGCGGAACGGGACTTCTTCAGACTGCGGCTTACTCGGTGCCGTCAGCCCCGCAGGAGTCTGGCTGCGAGCTCCCGGGGCAAGAGGTTCCACTGCGGAGCCCATTCGCCTGGCGGAGCGGTTGTAGTTCCGGAAGCCATTGTGGGTTAGGACCGCGCCTGCATGCGCCCAGACAGTGTCCTGAACCGCAGTGCTGTTGATCTCCGTGCTCTCAACAGGGACTGGGATGCGGTTTGCAGGTGTGCAGACGTCCCAGAACTTCCCACTGGGAAACCATGACCGCATGTCTGGGTTTAATCACTGAATTAATGCGTTTGATTTATTTGGCTTTTTTTTTGGGGGGGGTTAAGAATCATCTGGTACAAAGCAGCAGCTGTCACATCGTTCTGTCCAGCTCCGTAAAATTTAAAAATGGGAAAAAAAAACAACTTATAATTCTGAAAAAGAAAAACACAGACTTGGAGGGTGTAAAAAATAGAGCTGCCCTGCTTCACCCTGGTTGTAAAAGAGAGAAAAGACGAAGACTGCTGATTTACCTGCAAGGATAAGGCAAATTTGCTCACCACAGACGGACGCTGCTGTACTGGTTTGTGAAGGCAGGGCTGCACAGGCTGCTCAGCTGACAGAGGTGGGCAGGTACTTATATCAGCATAGAGTCACTGCCATCCAGCAGAGGAGTGGGCTGGGCAGACCGCTGCTGCTAACAGGAAATGCATAGGGGTAAAAACCTTTAAAGTCGAAGCAGCAGTATCTTCTCCAGTCCTTTGCACTTACCCTTCACAGGATTATCACCGAATTGTAAAACTTCAGCAGCTCCTTTTTCGACCAGCCTAACCTGAAGATGATAACTGGGGTTGAAATACCCCAAACAACACTTTGCATCTGCCCAGAGAGAAAGGTCTGGACAAAGACACAACTTCTGCAGTTTGAAAGTTGACTTTCTCCAAACGTTGGTTCAGTTTCAAGAAGAAAACAAAACAGATGTTGTTAGAAGTTTTAATTTGTGTTTTCTGCAGTGTGACATGTCATAAGAAATAAGAGCAGTGGAAACCAGCCTGTTAGCCCAATGAGGCTCTTTTATTTTGGGAGGTTGCTTATTGAATCCTCAGAGTTAAGAGGTGAACTGATTAATCTTGTTTGATTGAGCACAATGCTTCTAAACCCGGCAGTGTGATGGATGTCAGATTGCAAACAGGGCCTGCTGTCTACATTTAATACTTAACTGCATTAATTAATTGCATTTATACAGTGCTTGTTATCACCAAGGTCCCCAAAGTGTCTCGCATATAGGAAAGGATCCACCTCATCCACCCCTTAAAGAGCAGGGCCCACTTGGGCATGAGGTGCCAGCAGCCTGATTGCACAGCAGATCACATAGACAAGTGAGAAGCTGCTTCACCCGTTGAATTAGAGTGGCAAATGATGGTGGAGCGATTTCTAAATTAGGGTTTGGTTACAATCAACACAACTTTGCCACCCGTGGTGTGTCCTCAGTCCAAAGGAAAATGAGTATTGGATTGTTCAGATCCCTTATTTGACTTGGTTAAAACTACTAGAGTGCTGAAAGAGACTGAAGTTTCATAGCATGTGTCCATACTCTGTGCCCATGCAGCATTTGTGGTGTTATCAGTGTGTCAGCAACTGGAGTAACGCTGCTCCACTGACACTGGGTTTTTTTTTAGAGTTATTTAAAAGGCTTTGGCAAGATAAAAGTTGAAAGAAAGAAAACAAACTGCTTGGTGTTCTTTATTGCTCATTCTCTTTGATGCACACTTAAGAAAATATTTATTTTTACTGCATTGTATTGCAACCATATGTTTTGACACAAAATCAGTGTTAAATTGCAGTGATTTCAAAGGGGGCGGAATTAATCGCCTAGTAAAGAAGTGCTGTTGAATTAATCAAAACTGAATGTCGGATCCAGTGTTGCCCACTTAGTGAATAAGGACACTCTTTGGCCCCAGTGATCCTAAAACACTGTAAAACAAAAGGGCAAATTCAGCTAAATCACCCTAAAGTCACAAATGCAATAATCATCACACAGAGCCCTGCTGATGTCGGTTTGAGTGCTGCCTCAAACAGTGTTGTGCACCTGGAGAGACTTTCTGCCGGGGTATTTTGTGTTTGGTGGGCATTGTGCAGAAAAGAAGACCAGATAACGGGCTGTGTGTTATAGGCACTATTTTCAGTGTCTCCCAGGTAACCCCTGATCATTAGGCAGGGGTGTGTGCCAGACTGATGGATGGAAGCAGTCTGATAATGGGAGAGCCCCGACCACTGATGCTGCACAGTGCTGGGTTAGCTGTCGGTTTTCGGGACAAGTGCACAAGCTTTGTGCCTTACTGTGGGAGCCCTCTTGACTACAGAGACACTGACGTCTACCTTTCACAGGTGAACAGTGAGTGTTGCACTTTTGAAGGCGATTTCAAAGCTAACTGCACCTTTCGATACTGAACGCCTTACTTAAAGGAGTGAGGCCACAGCACCAGCAAACTGTTCTCTAACCCTGTTAAGGTTTGATTTGGGTAAGGATTTGTTTCACATTAAAACCCCGAAGAGGGTGTGACACACGCTGTAGGAGTGTGGTGAGTTGCAGTGTTCTGTGCCCCACTGAGATGTTGGCATTCAAGACCACCTTGTGTTTGGAGAATGGTAGTTGCATCCATGTTTTTTTTTTTACATTTCATTTTCAATCTTTTAATCCTGATCAAGGAAAGTTCTTGGCATTATCAAAAAGACACCGTACTTTCTCAAATTTGTTTATTGCAGATCAGGTGGTTATCTCTAAATCAGCCACTAGAAAGGTGTTCAGTTGCTCCATACTAGACCAGTTTTTTGCACTCAGTAGGAGCTTAGGTGGAAATTAAAACCAATAGACCCAGATTCTGTTGTGCTCAGGAGTTGGGCACCCTTGCAGAACAACTGGTACATCAGCATAGCCAGTATTATACAGGCATATTAATGGGCAGAAGATTTCAGGCTAGGAATTAAAAACTGCTTTAAATTCAGGCTTGTTCCATGTTGCGCTGTGCTGCAGATCTAAATTATTGCTTACTCTAGAAGGCTGATTATGGTAGTCTGCACCAGTTTCATTCAGCAGAATACAGATTTCCTTCGTACACAAAGTGCATGTAGCAAAGCAGTTATTCAGAGATGAGGAAGAGGATCTGCACAGTTCAAAAGCTCCTGCCTTTCCCCCCCTAGCAGGGTGTTCTCATCAAGTTGGGCTCAGAACAGCACTCCCTCACTGCACAGGCTCTTAGTCAGCAAGGCTTTACAAGTAAATACTGAAGAGAAATGTTTGGTTTTTATTTAGCACTTTACAAAGATCGAGACTCTTAATGTGAACTGCCTAGAAAACGAAATCATACAGCTGAAAGAAAGTACTGAAATACCATCTGGTTGGGATGCAGTTATGTTACATAGTGCATCGCGTTTCACCGGGTGAGTACAGAAGGTTGAAATGTATATCACAGGGGCGTAAGACCTGAAGAAATGAAGAGTACTGCACTGTGTAGATTGCAAGAAATGATTCATCTGAATTGATGACGAGGGGGTTCTGCAGTCCTGAGGGGAGCAGGGTTTTAATAGGGCTGCAGCGTCACATCTGGGCACCTCTGGCTCAGCCCTGGCAGGATTAAGAGCCTCAGATGGGGCAGGGATGTTGCAACACTGTGTGTTGTGGGGGGAAGTGTCAGGTCTTGATTTTGTCACCACCTCTGTGCCGCACTTGTGTGTTCATATTTCAGACTTGTGAGCCACTGCATTTGTGTGTCATAACCACATGTTTTGAGGTAATCAGAGAGTAGAGTGACCTCTTTTTTTATCAAGCTTTCTGCTTAACTCGGTTCAGATGATCTACTTCAGCCACTGTGTCTTTGACATGAATGAAAAACCCCGAAGGCACTCGAGTGTCTTCTTGACCTGTGGCCCAGTCCAATCACAGTCCTGGCACACGTAGTTCCAGTTGACAGGAGGTTGCTGGGCTCAACCCTAGAGATGCTCCACTACAGTATTCCAGGCACCACATGATGAATGCACAGTAATCCTTAATGCTGAAAGTGCCAGCTGTCAGTTCCCCACTGGGCTTGGTGAGGACTTGCATCCCCAGAGCCCATTCCTCACCCTCTATGCAGTGATGGCACAGCATTCACTGAGTCAGTGCTGCATGACTGACTCAGTCTTAAAACTCAGACTCCCATTCCCCTTCTTAATCTTCACCATCTTTTCCAAATCATCTCATGGTGTGAGGAAGCTAATTCATTGAAATCGGTTTGTCAGGGAAGGAAAAAAGGTTTTAGCAGAAGTTAACATGGGCGTCTGAACTTCTGAATAATTAAACAATATGCCTACTGAAAACACTGCATTTAAAGTGTTCTTAATGTGTCTTGATCTGAAATTCACAAGTTTTGTCTTTTTTTTTTTCCCCTGGTTGGTATAGTTTCTTTTGCATTACCCCTTTTTCTGTAGGACCCAAATTCCCAGCCCCCTTCTTTCTCCATGTAGGTTTTATTTTGGTCTCTCTGCATCTATTTACTGATTAATAACAAATGTGAAATAAAGGATGCTGTATTGTTACCAGCCGTGTTGTCTCGGTCTTCTGTGATTTCTAACACCCCCCATTAAAATAACAGGTGGGCACACCTGGGATTTTCTGCACTGTTACATTTGGGAAATTAAGCAAAAATGTCCATCAAAAAATACAATTTAGGTCAGAGTTATGGCACAGATATAAAAAGTGACCACTTACATAAGCTGTGAAAGTGACCAAAATCTTTGTCAACTAAAAAAAAAAAAAGGTTTTCAGACTGGAGTGAAATTGTGTTAAGAGTTGTTCAGTTACATATGGGGATCTTCAGCAGTAACTGGATGGGGTTCCTGTTGCCTGACCTGCTGAACATGTTCAAACTCCTTAAATGTACAGCTTTTCCAGGATGATTTTAGGTTTGAACATAATTGTAAAAGGACTCTTTTCCCACCATCCATTTTCCATACAAAACTGGACAAAATACAGCTGTAATAAAAACAAATTTAGGAGACAAAAAAAACCTTTCCAAGCATTGCATTCCAGCGGATCTGGGAGAACAACAATTTCAAACCAAAGTGAGGCTATCCTTTGGCCACCTTTCTGGAAATGGTGGATGTGGTAAATAATTTTAACAGAACAAGAGATGAGATGGGACAAAAACCAGGAGGCATGAGGTTGCTCCAAGATCAGGACTAGGAAACAGTCTTTCACTGGAGAGTGTCCATCTCTGTCCACACGAGACAGCAGAGCTCATTAATGATCTGAGTAAAGACCCATGGGCAGGGAGCTGCCTTTATTGGTTATATTATCTCTCATTTTCACTGTGGAAGAATACAGAGAAATATCGCTATGATTGCTAAATACAGATCAAGTAACTATTTTAGAAACAAAAAACAATAAAAAGCAGCACATCTCTGAGCTGTACCTTGACCCCCACATGTGTGAGAATCAGTGCTGAGTATCTGTCTTGCTACTGTGTGAGATCTCTGTATTTGTGAACATCAGTGCTCCTCAGTGTGTCGGTGTGAGGCAGTGAGTTAGTGCTGTGCGTCGATGTGTGCCAGTGCATTCGTTTGTCAGTGTGCGTCCGTCAGCGGGAGTCGATGCGTTAGTGCCGTGTGTCAGTGGGAGTCAATGCGTTAGTGCTGTGTGTTAGTATGCAACAGTGTGAAAGTGTTTGCCAGTATGTGTCACAGTGTGCAACAGTGCATCAGTGCTGTGTGTCAGTGGGAGTCAATGCGTTAGTGCTGTGTGTTGGTCTGCAACAGTGTGAAAGTGTTCCAGTGTGAGTCAGTGTGTGCCAGTGGATCAGTGATGTGTGTCGGTGTCAGACAGTGTGCGTCATTGCTGCAGAAGTGTGTGACAGTGTGCGTAAGTGCTGCAGTAGTGTGTGACAGTGTGCGTCAGTGCTGCAGAAGCGTGTGACAGTGTGCGTCAGCGTGCGTCACTGCTGTGCGGCAGTGCTGAGGAAGTGATGAGCGGCCCTCAGGGCGTCCTGCATGTCGGTGTGCCCCGCCAGCCGGCAGGCCTGCTCCAGACCCAGCCAGCGGTAATCCTGGTGCTCCCGCGAGAGCCGCACGGCGGCGCCAGGGTCCCGCAGCTCCGCCAGCCAGTACACCACCGTCTTGGCCCGCCCCCGCACCTCGTAGCGCAGCTCCCTCCGGTACCCGTCCACCAGCCGGAGCTGGGCCGGGCCCAGGCCCGCCTCCTCCTCCGTCTCCCGCAGGGCCGCGGTCATGTCGTCTTCTCCGGGGTCCACGTGGCCTGAGAGGCAGAGAGCGGGACCGGGCGGTGAGGCAGGGGAGCACGGATGTGCCCCGCAGTGTCAGTGTGCGTGTCAGTGCGTCGGTGTGTGAATCGCTGTGTTAGTGTGCGTATCAGTGTGCGTATCACTGTGTTAGTGTGCATATCAGTGCGTCGGTGTGCGTATCACTGTTAGTGTGTGTATCAGTGCGTCAGTGTGCGTATCACTGTGTTAGTGTGCGTATCAGTGCGTCAGTGTGCGTATCACTGTGTTAGTGTGCGTATCAGTGCGTCGGTGTGTGAATCACTGTGTTAGTGTCCGTATCACTGTGTTAGTGTCCGTATCACTGTGTTAGTGTCCGTATCAGTGCGTCGGTGTGTGAATCACTGTTAGTGTGTGTCAGCGTGCGTATCACTGTGTCAGCGTGCGTATCAGTGCGTCGGTGTGCGTATCACTGTGTTAGTGTCCGTATCACTGTGTTAGTGTCCGTATCACTGTGTTAGTGTCCGTATCACTGTGTTAGTGTCCGTATCAGTGCGTCGGTGTGCGAATCACTGTGTTAGTGTGCGTATCAGTGCGTCGGTGTGCGTATCACTGTGTCGGTGTGTGTGTCCGTGCGTCAGTGTGTGTGTCAGTGTTTGTATCAGTGTGTAACTGTGTGTCAGTGTGCTTATCACTGTGTCAGTGTGTGTATCAGTGTGCGTATCACTGTCAGTGTGCATATCAGTGCGTCGGTGTGCATATCACTGTGTCAGCGTTTGTCAGGGCGTCAGTGTGCGTATCACTGTGTCAGTGTGTGTGTAAGGGGATGTTGGTGCATGTCAGTGTCAGTGCGTCAGTTTCAGTGCGAGTGTCAGTGCTGGAGAACAGAGTGCAGGAAAGCAGAAGGAGGACAGGCAGAGCGAGCAAAACCAGAGAACGAGAAGCCCAGCGTATACCTGGAAGAGGAAGTGCAGGTAAGCATGAGAGCAGGGAAGAGGGGAGCTGAGAGGGAGGTAGAGGAGGCCACAGGAGGCAGGCGTAAGGGAGAAAGAGAAACTTTCTCAAACGTCCATGCAGCTCTGGCTTATGTTACAGGTAACAGCCAACAGCCAACAGCTAAAACAAGGGAGGATTATCCATTTTCCTGTGAGGTTACAAACACAAGGAGAGGAGGCCATTCGGCCCATCGAGGCTGTTTGGAAGTTAGTAGTTAATTGATCCAAGAATCTCATCCAGCTGTTTCCTTGCAAGAAGCAAGGGCACAGGCCGGGTATCTCGTTCCACACCCCCACCACCCTTTGGGTAAAGAAGCGCCTCCTGTTCCTGGTTCGAAACGAGCTCCCGTGTTACGTGGTACCTTTGGGAGGCGTCCAGTGGTGCTCCCCGTACGAGGTCTGGAGCAGCAGGAACTGGATGGTGTCCGGCACAGCCTGAGCCAATCGCCGGAACACGATCAGACCGCCAGCGCGCAACGCCATCCCCTCCGCAGCGCCGGCCTGCCACACAGCGTGTCACAGGAAGACTGAGAACACAGGAGCACCTCCCCACATCTGCCCCGACTTTCCCCGAGGCATCTCGGCAAGGGGACCGTACAGCTGTCCCCCACGCACCGACACCAGAACCTGCTGGAATGCAACCTGAACAGATCTCTGTCATTTCAAGATAAAAGCAGACTGGGACACTGCAGCTGTGATGACTACAACTTCTGGAAGAATTCTATAGAAAGTACATTCAGTGTAGGGAATACATAATCACCACAATTCAAGTGTATATTGGATATTCGATACATAAAGACAAACACTTTGCTCTGTGCTGTGTAGCTTTGACTTTCTTCTTAGAGTTGTAGCTCTTCCTTGGTTTAACTGCGAGGGGAAATCATTCTATACTGTGGTGGTGTACAAATATATCCCTACAGTAACATTATTGCATAAATAACCTTTCATTAAAAAAAAAAATAGATTTTCAAAAGATTTTTCAGAAGGATCACCCAGCTGGAAAAGGCTTTTACGACGTAGTTACGATAACGACATTCTAAACAACAGGGCCCTGGTCATGTCAGTCAGCTCGGGTAGATGCTCGTCTGTTTCGGCCACAGGAATGCCTTAGCCCTTCTCTGAAGCTCGCCCAGAAGTGAAAAATAATACCGAGCCTTAACTTGACATTAAAACCTTACGAGAGCTGACGTTGCTTCATCGTCACCAATAAGTAAGACAGAGCATGAAAAATGCAATCTAATTAAAATAGTTGTGCTTTTTTTTTTTTGCCACGCCATGATTTAAATTCCCAATTTGTCTTCAGCAAATGGATATATTCACATGACAGGAAGCAGGAAAGTTCCGATCAGGAAACACTCATCAGCAGTCGGCGAAATGCAGTCGCAATCAAGTCTGGATTCTGTGAACTGATCGAGTTACTGCAAAGCCAAACATTTTAGTGTATAAGGGACTAACCCCATCTTAAGGGTCATCGCAGAAAAGAACATACAAATAAAAACGCGTTCGGGGTGTTTTTCTTCAGAGAAGGCACATTATGTCCATGCGGGAGACGAAAACGTCTTTCCCGTGGAACAGGTGCCGCCCGAAATCGAACAGACCCGAGAGCAGATCTTCAGACTGGATTTCAGAACCGCAGGGATAAACGATCTCTTTCGGGCACTGTCACACAGCCCAACCGTTCATTCTCATATGCTATACATTATGTACATTTCTTGCATCAAAACAAATGGTCTTTCCGCCGACACTTCATGGGAAAAAAATATTTTGTACTCATTCAAACCCTTGAGCCTAACACAAGAAAGCCGTCCTTTCCTTTCCTGCCTTATACTAGTTCATCCTCCCGGAAAAGGGGTTAGGATTTATTTTTTTTAATTTCCACGTGAAGTCCCTTCGGTAAAATAAGATTTGTTTTTAATGCTTACTCTCACTCGTCGTCCCCCCGACCTGCGCGCAATGTGCCTGGATCAACTACATTCAGGAAAGCCCTACAGAGCCTGCCTCCTTTCTTCACCTGCGGTGGGCGATCGGTTTAAAAACAAAACGCTCAAGTTGACTTTATAGTTAAAAGAACAAGTAAGAGGTTTATTCCATGCTGAAAAAAAGAAGAAAGAGAACACAACGTTTCGGCCGTGGAGCCTTCTTCAGGTGGAACACAGGTTGTGTTCTCTTTCTTCTTTTTTTCAGCATGGAATAAACCTCTTACTTGTTCCTTTGCAGCCTAGGCATGCTGACGCAGCCACCCACCTGAACTTTATAGTTAAAAACTTGATGTGTGCTTTCACACTATCTCACTCGCACGCCGTCTCCACGCCAGCCCCTGCTGCCTGTTCTCTTCCTGATCCGCCAAGACGGGCTCTGGGGAGAGAAACGGGACAGCCCCCTCAATCCTCAAAGACAAGTCGTCCAATTACTTAAAGTACGCCTAAGTGAACGCTTTTCTACGGGGTTGAAAACATATGCAGGCTTGGGTGAAGGTCTAACTCACGCCTGTCATTTTTAAAAAACGCCTAATGTGCAAGGAAGTACCCAACTCCCCACGACTCAAGGCAGTGTCCGCCGCTGCCACACACTGCCGCCACCTACCGTACAGGAGGACCGAGTGCAGCTGCCGCGCCGATCAGGTGTTGGGAGTCCTCCGTGTCAATTCAGCGGACGTGATCCATAGTATAGAAACATTATAGAGACTTTCGTTCTCCGCCCACTGTGAGCTCCAACAATGAAAAATCCGTCTTCCTTGCAGAAGCGAGACACCTTACGCAGGCTATAAGTAAATATGCTCCCACTCAAATGCGTAGTCCCACTCTGTACTCTGTGGACGTCAGCGGATAGCGGGTGCGATGCTGAGGATCTTGATATTTCAGCGGTGATTGCGTGGCAGCGCACAATTCCCGTCGCCTTTGCGCTCTGGTATGCTGGGAATAGTAGCTGGAAATACAGGAGATGATAAGAAAACGATACATGGGCTCATCGTTTAGTTTCCTGCCTGCTTCTCATTTAGAATCGAGTAGGCAAGGATCTGGAGCCCAGATTTACTTATTATTTCTAGCAATGCAGGTCATTCTAAAGGCGCACACACACAGCTCTCTCCGAGTGGGCATCTTTTCAACACCACGAAATTCCCTGCCAGGTAAATATACATCTTTGGTGAAAACAAAACGACTGAAGAGAAGAAAAACGACCTCGATACAACTCCCCCCAGAACGCCAGCCGAACAAGTCTCCACAGCCGCTTCGGCTGGGTCTCTTTTCAGCTGGCGATAGATAAACCTTTACTCGATCCTTTGCGGACTTGTAAAACTTGTAATAAACATATACAGTATATAAGGTT